ATTATTCTTAACATTCAGAACGGAACACAACGGAAGACTGTGTACATAATGAAAAATTAAGTGTGCAATTTCCTATCTTCACAATTACTTTGTCAGACTCAAGGGATCATCACCGGGGACTTATTCAACACGAATGTGGGTATCCACCACTCTGGCCCAGATTCTTAGTCTTGAAGAATAAAATACAAGACCTCATTGAAGCAAAAGAAATTAAGTTTGATGCGCCCGAGAAGCCAAATGTTGTCATCTCTGCTCCTATGCCCAGACATGGTCACAATACCAATGCTATTGAAGAAGATTTATTTGTTACCATAATTGATGAACTCATGACTCCACTTCCGACTATTAAGATAAACTTGTTGAAAGTCGGTGTGTTCCCGGGCTGTAATGAAATTTTCCATCACTGCTTATCATCACCAACTAGCTGTCCTTTGTTGAAGGCAGGCATTCAGTGCCTGATAGATAACAAAGAGATTTTGTTTGAAAAAATTCCTATTTCACCTATTCCTGTTGAAGATGTTTCAATCGTTACCATTTCCGTCAATTCTTCCAGGGTCTCCACCAAAAGACCTGTTAGAATTACATCAGTTCCAAAAGCAACTCCTCTAATAATTACAATGCCCGGACTAGTCCCATATGAATCAAACAAAATCGTGCCGTGGAATTACAGAGGGGACATTTATTACCATGGCATCAAACAAGACTGGCTGGCCACCAAAGAGATAAACTCCGAAGAAGAAGAAGATTCCGACATCAGCAATATTGCCAAAACTAGTAAAATTACCTGAAGCAGTAGGATCTTTTCTCCATAAATTGCTCCCACAAAAGCAGTTTCTGGATCCGTGATCATACTCGTGGCTGCTCTAAATGTTACTTTCGTACCCATAATCATCTCTGCAAGTGCTCATACTAACGAAGTCGTCACAACTCCTGTTATCATTCCTACCAACACTCCTGCTGTCGAGACTCGAGGAAAGAGTATTCAAGTGGAGTCTGTCCAGACGAAGGCTCAATCACTGACTATCCATGAGGCTTCCAAGAAAGAAATGAAGGAGATCCTAAAAATTATAAAGAGGAGCGACTACGATGTAGTTGAACAATTGGGGCAAACTCCCTCCAAAATCTCCATGCTGACATTACTACTGTGTTCCGAGGCACATGCGAAAGCCTTGGTGAAGTTCCTAAAAACAACCCATGTGCCTCAAGAGACGTCTGCTGATCAATTCCAAGATTGCGTGGCCAGCTTGACAGCGGATAACGGTCTAGATTTTTCGGATGCTGATTTGACACCAAGGGGAAGAAAGCACAGTGAGGCCTTGCATGTCTCTATGGAATGTAGGGGCACAACTTTGGCCCATGTTTTGGTGGACACTGGCTCATCTTTGAATGTATTACCGAAAAAAGCTCTTCACAGACTTGACTGCGAGGGGCTAACGTTACAGCCAAGCAACATAGTAGTAAGGGCATTTGATGGCTCGAAGAGGATGGTGCACGGGGAAGTGGATATCCCCATAAAGGTTGGGACTCAAACTTTCAATTCAACCTTTTATGTAATGGATATTCGCTCTTCTTACTCCTGTCTTCTAGGACGGCCATGGATCCACAATGCTGGTGCTGTTACCTCTACATTGCACCAGATGCTGAAGTATCTGGTTCAAGGGAAGATTATCATTGTCCATGGAGAGGAAGAGTACATGATCAACCATCTCAATTCCTTCAGATATGTGGAATTGGACGGTGAATTCATTGAAACTCCATTTCAACACTTCGAAGAGGTTCCCCAAGAGGTGGCAGTGACCAAGACTGTGTCCCAGATTCCCAAGATTATAAGACCTCCACTCCGGATGTCATCACTAAAGGACGCCAAAGCAGTGTTAGAGGAAAGTGGATGCACTATCTGGGGACAACTCTCAGATATCCCGTATAAGTCTGACAAGTTTGGCTTAGGTTTCACTTCAAGTGCTCAAAAGGCTATACGTCGTGCCCGTACTGGAGGGCCACCCTTGAAGATCAGCAACCGTGAGGTCAACGCGATAGAAGATGGTGAAAATGGTTGCGATCTGGAGGAATGAATCTTTTCGACTGTCAATGGAGGGCTCGGTAATTGGGAGGCCAGAGATTTCATCTCAATCACTTTCATCCCTCAGTAATTTATCTTTACATTTTGTTGGATCTGTAATATTCAAAACAATTCGCACTCTTAAAACCTTGTGTCTTACCCGAGGCACATTGGTCCATTTGTAAGGGTTATTATTTCATTTCATATGACATCAATGAATCATGGACGTTTTTGCATTCAAACTTTTGTGCTCATTGTTTTTCTTTTACATCTTACTTTCTTTCAAAGATAGCTATATCCTTACACACACCCACACTCACAATGCAGGTATACATCCATTCTGGATCTCATGGGTAACGATACTGCTATGGCCTTTTGTGACTCTGAGAATCTGATCTACCAAGCCGAAGACGAAGGTGCGAAAGATTGTGAAGTACCAGGGGAACTTTCCAGACTGCTACAGTAAGAAGAGAGAACCATTCAGCCTCACGAGGAATCCGTGGATACAATCAACCTAGGTACCGAAGAAGATAAAAAAGAGGTCAAGGTGAGTGCCAATCTGGAACCCAGTATCAAGAAGCGTCTTATTCAGCTGTTGCATGATTATGTCGAAGTCTTTGCCTGGTCATATGAAAACATGCCAGGACTTGATGAAGATATTGTGGTACATCGTCTTCCTACAAGAGAAGACTGTCCGCCAATAAAGCAAAAGGTATGTCGAATAAGGCCTGATATGTCAGAAAAGATTAAAGCAGAGGTCATGAAGCAATTTAACGCTGGATTCTTGACTGCCACCTCTTACCCCCAATGGGTTGCCAATGTTGTTCTCGTGCCCAAAGAGGAAGGCAAGGTGCGAATGTGTATGGACTACCGAGATTTGAATAGGGCAAGCCTTAAGGATGACTTTCCACTCCCCCACATTGATATCCTAGCTGAAAATACGGCACAACACAAAGTGTTTTCCTTCATGGACGGATTCTCAGGTTACAACCAAATCAAAATGGCACCTGAGGACATGGAGAAAACAACTTTGTCACGCAGTGGGGCACATTCTGCTACAAGGTGATGCCATTCAGACTAAAAAATGTTGGGGCAACCTATCAGCGTGCCATGGTAGCTTTATTTCATGACATGATACATCATGAGATAGAGGTCTACGTAGACGATATGATAACCAGATCACAAACGGAAAAAGAGCATCTTGACCACTTACAAAAACTGTTTGAGAGACTGAAGAAGTACAAGCTGAGGTTGAATCCAAACAAGTGTATATTTGGGGTACGGTCTGGTAAACTCCTAGGCTTTGTCGTCAGTAACAGATATTGAGGTCGATCCTGCCAAAGTTAAAGCAATACAAGAGATCCATGCTCCTCGTACTGAGAAGGAAGTCAGAGGATTCTTGGGACGTTTGAACTATATTGCCATATTCATTTCTCACCTGACAGCTACTTGTGAGCCAATCTTCAAGCTCTTGAAGAAAGATCAAGTAGTCAAATGGAATGATGAGTGCCAAATTGCTTTTGACAAAATCAAAGAATACTTATAAGAGCCTCATGTGTTGATGCCACCAGTCGAGGGAAGACCGTTGATCATGTATCTGACTATTTTAAAAAACTCAATGGGGGTGTGTATTGGGGCAGCATGACGAGTCTGGCCGAAAAAAGTGTGTTATTTATTACCTGAGCAAAAAGTTTACCGACTGTGAAACCAGATATTCAATGCTCGAGAAAACTTGTTGCGCTCTAGCATGGGCTGCTCGTCGGATAAGACAGTATATGTTGACTCATACTACCTTGTTGATATCTAAGATGTATCCGATAAAATACATCTTCGAGAAGCCTGTTCTTTCTGGGAGAATAGCGAGATGGAAGATGATCCTAACAGAATATGACATACAATATACCACCCAGAAAGCTATAAAGGGTAGTGTACTAGCCGATCACCTTGCTCACCAAGCTGTGGAAGACTACCAGTCCATGTAGATCAAATTTTCAAATGAAGACATCATAACATTAGACAACTGCGAAGAAATCAGGCCATATGACGGACCTGAACAAGGATCCCGATGGATCCTATTCTTTGATGGAGAATCCAATGCACTTGGTAATGGTATCAGTGCTGTACTCATATCTCTAAAAGGGTGTCATACTCCCTTTACTGTCAGACTTTGCTTCAATTGTACAAATAACATGGCGGAATACGAAGCATGCATCTTTGGTCTCAAAGCTGCCATAGACTTGGGGATCAAATTCTTGGATGTATTTGGATATTCAGCTTTGATAATCAGTCAGATCAAAGGGGAATGAGACACAAAACAACATAACCTTATCCCTTACAAAGAACATGTTTTGACATTGCTACCACACTTTGAGAAGATTATCTTTGAGCATTTCCCGCGAGAAGAAAATCAGCTAGCAGACGCTCTAGCCACAATGTCATCTATGTTTAACTTAATTAGGATAACGAGGCTCCCCAGATCACCATCGAACGAATGGATGAAACAACACACTGTCACGAGATTAATACTGAAGAAGTAGTGGACTAGCCTTGGTTTCACGAAGTCAAGAGGTATCTCGAAGCTCAAGAATATCAAGAAGGAGCTTCAATCAATGATAAGAAGTTCTTAAGGAGATTTTCTGCTAATTTCTTCCTTAGTAATGGCATCCTGTACAAACGCAATCATGACCCTATGTTACTTCGGTGCGTAGATAAGGCTGAAGCGGAAATGATCATGGATGAATTACATGAAGGCACTTTTGGCACCTATTCTAGTGGGCATACGATGGCAAAGAAAATCCTACAGGTAGGCTATTATTGGTCTACCATGGAAGCAAATTGCTATCAACACTCTCGAACCTGTCATAAATGCCAGATTTATATCGACAAAGTGCATGTACCCCCGGTTCCTCTGAATGTCTTGACGGTTCCTTGACCCTTTGCTATGTGGGGAATTGATATGATTGGGGAAATCAAGCCGACAGCCTCCAATGGACATTGCTTCATCCTAGTGGCCATTGACTATTTTATAAAGTGGGTTGAAGCAGCCTCCTTCGCCTCTGTTATCAAGAATGTTGTTGTCCGCTTCATCAAGCAAAACCTTATTTGCCGGTACGGTATCCCAGAAAGGATCATCACTGACAATGGTACAAATTTCAACAACACTATGATCACCGCATTGTGCGAGCAATTCAAGATTCAGCATCACAATTCTTCTCTACATCGACCAAAGATGAATGGTGTTGTCGAAGCTGCAAATAAAAACATTAAAAAGATCATACAGAAAATGACAGTCACATACAAAGACTGACATGAGATGCTACCATTAGCTCTCCACGGATATCGTACCATGACTCACACATCAACCGGGGCAACACCCTATTCTTTGATTTACGACATGGAAGTTGTCTTGCCTATTGAGGTCCAGATCCCCTCTCTAAGGATTATGAAGGATGCAGAATTGAACAAAGACGATTGGATCCAGACTCGACTTGATCAACTAAACTTGATTGATGAGAAGAGACTTACTGTTGTTTGCCATGGTCAAATGTATCAAAAACGGATGACCAAGGCTATCAAGTGTATCAAGTTAGGGATCTAGTGATCAAACGCATCATCTTGTCACAAAATGATCTCAGGGGCAAATGGACTCCTATCTATGAAGGATCATTTGTGATCAAAAACATATTCTCCGGTGGGGAAATGATCTTGACCACCATGGATGGCGACGACCTGCCACACTCTGCGAACACGGACATAGTCAAAAGATACTACGCATAAGAGACCCGCTAGGTTGACATACCTAGGCAAAACAAGGGCATCTCGGCGAACCAAAAAGGTTCGGGCAAAAATTAGGGATAAAATAAAAAATCTGTACACCTGGCAAGTTGAAAACCCGAAAGGGCAACTTGAGCAAAAAAGGATTTTCCGGTGGACTGAAAACCCGATAGGACGGTCCAAGCAAAAGTTAGGGAATTTAAGCGTATGACTATGTTCTGTTGGATCACTTTACGGACAACCTTTGGCTTCAACTAACAAACTCATAGGTTCTGATCAATTTAATCATCTTCGGACGAGGCAACAAATTGACAAGATGCTAGGAGATACGAAGGCTATATCAGAATGGAAACCCCATGGGATTTTTGTACACATAGCTATCTTTTCTTTGTATCAAAATTTTCATTTTTTTACGACAACATTCTCTTACTAGAATGTTCGTCTCCTTGTACAAAAAATACTTATTCAAAGTCAATACAAAATATTCCTTTGAAAGTGAAAAAGTTATTTGTCTTTTCTTTACGCTTGTTTTGTTTACAAAAACGTCCAATGATTCATTGTTGAGCATATGCATTTGAACATAATTACTGTTTACAAATAAACGAAATGAAAAGAGGCAATTACTAATAGGTTGAAAGGATAGAGAAATGTCTCTAGGCTATTCTATAAGTAATCCCCGACAGTACGTCGTTCAAATCCCCAGCGGAACAAAATTTCAAATTGTTGATCCCTAGTAAAAGTTGTCAAATTTCTCAAGACTCCCCCCAACAGATTCTAAAAACAGTACATTGGCATGGCCCTTACGACATAATTTATTTCTCTAAATAGAAATTTATAAACACTTCAACTTCACAACATGAAGACTTACACTCCATATCCTCAATAATAGTCAGAGATTTATTTTTCCAATCCAACAACAGTGCAGCAAACTAGCTCATATACGCATACATTGCATTCATATATCATAAACATTGATAACACGAATGCATTATACTATGTATTTCATACAACATAAGCATTATGTTTTAAGCTAACATTTTTACCTTTTTCAGGATAAGATTAACAGCTATCATTAACAATATTCAAAAACTGATACAGTTCAGGTACGCTCCAGACACGAATGCCATTCTGATACTCATTTAGATTCAGCTTTCAGATACGCTCCAGACACGGATGCCATCTTGATACTCATTCAGACTCAACATTCAGATATAATTCAGATACACTCCAGACACGGATGCCATCTTGATATTTATTCAGATTCAACTTTTGATACAGTTCAGATACGCTTCAGATACGAATGTCATCCTGATACTCATTCAGATTCAACTCTTAGATACAGTTCAGATACGCTCCAGACACGGATGCCATTCTGATACTCATTCAAAATCAACTCTCAACTACAATTCAGATACGCTCCGAACACGAATGTCATTCTAATATTTAATCAAAGCCTCTTTCAGATACAATATGGATACGCTCCAGGCACGGACGCCATTCTGGTACTCGTTCTTTCAGCTTACAAATTACAATTCAATAATCACTCTCGGATGACATCTTTTAAGCCCATCTCTCACATATTTCTATCACCTCTCCAAATGGCATCTGTAAGCTCATTCTTTCTATCATCACACCATCGAGTGCAAATTTATGGGCACTCTAGTGTCCAATCATCTTTCACCTTCGAGTCATGAGAGGCAAAACTCATCAGTCTAACTCTTCAGGTTTAAGAAGATTGAACAAGGGAAGTTGTTATACCCCAAAATTTTCTCTCTCACTTATCAAGAATTTACTCACAAGATCTCATTGACTTAAAACTGCACTAGGGTTTGATCAGCACAAGACACCTCCTCATGCACTGATGACCAAAATTAGGGTTTGAGTTTGCACAAAGATTTTTGTACTATAAATGCTTCATATGACTTTCAAGGATCATTAGGGACCCCCAAGATTACTCATGTCAAGTTTCAAGCCTTGAATCATACTTTTGATCAGTCAATTGGATAGTTGACCTGAAAATCAGCTGTATTGGGGAAAAAGTCAACCATGGCCAATTTTCAGTCAAACTCCATAATTTTTGATCCACATCAACACCTTAGACTCATATGTATCATTTTATCAAGTTTGGATCACAATTCCTCAAGAAATTTGATCAAATCATCAAAAAGGCAAAATGGTCAAAATTAGGGTTTTGACTGAGAAGGGGAAATTTCTGATTTTTGACCTAGCAAATATCAATTGGTTTGAAGCATGATTTCAAGAGTTCAATTGCATCATCTTGACCTAATGACATGATTCAAAACATTACAAATTCATTAGATTGACAGATGAATTTTCCAGTCAACTGATCAAAAATCAACTGTATACTGAAAAGTCAAACTTTGACTTTTTGGTCAAATTCAAGTGCCAAGGATCACAATTCATCAAAACATGTCAAAATTTGAAACTTGTTCATCAAGAAATTAAGGATTGAAGATCTTGTTTTGAAATTTGAAATTTCTTAACTTTGAAATTTTTTTAAGTATAGAAAATTTCTTATTTTTTCTCAACTTTAGGCCAAAATTTCACCATGATACAAAATGATTCAAAGGAAGTTCCCAACATGAAAGTTGTAGATCTCCATGAAATCTACAACTTTGTTTCAACAATTTCTCCTAAAGATGCTTGGATCTCAAGATATAATTTTGTGAATACATGCTCATGAACTAAAATAACTTAGTGAAATTTTGCCTTAATTAGGCAGGTTTTTTACCTAATTTCATGGCAATTTTTCACCTAGTTCCAAGAGTAATTTTCAAAAGCATTTCAAATATGGGTTATAAATCACATTACAAGCTTTCCAAAATGTCCAAGAACTCCTTGAGATCATTCTTGAGTAGGGAGAATCAAAGAGATGAAGTTAGGGTTTTATCACTTTGATTATAAGTCATTTTCATGAAGAACAAGTTTTCAAATTTGTAAATTGGCTGTACAATCTTCACTTTTCAGGCCTCAAACTCGTTTGTTACTCCACCATTAATGGATTTCACAAGGTTTCATGCCCTAAACCCAAGCATTCAATGCATTGTATAAGAAAATAGCCATTTTTGGAAGAAAGGCAACATTGCCATTTCAGAAAAGCATGCTTTTTGCATTTTTCCATTTCTTGAGCCTTAGACTTGTTCTTTTTGCACAAACCAAGCCTTTAAACCTGAACAAAACATGTTTAAAGCTTCAAGCCACCCTACAAGATCAGAATCATGCCTTAAGAAGTCACTTGTCACACTTGCTTAAAAAAAAAAGAAATGTAGCAAGACATGTGATCTTGTACTTTTGAGCAAGCACAAGTCCTCCAACCTTTTGCTCTATATAAAGCCATCATTTTGCAACTAAAACCATGGATGCCCAAGCCTTGAAACACCCTAAAATCAAAAGTTGCATACCAAGCCTCTAAACTTTCCATTCCTGACTTGTGAACTGAATCTTCCATTTCACTCGTGCGTTTTCAGGCCTTTTTCTTTCCCAAGCTTCCTTACCTTACAAGTAAACCATCCCACACCCTAAAACATTAATGTAACTCCATCTTCCCTATTGTTGAAGTTCAAAAACAGAGCAACACATGTGGACTTCTCCAGACCATTCCAGCCACTCTCAAGACAAGTTAAGCATTGCATTAGCTTCCTAGAGGTTCAAGGAAGCTAACCTGATCATCATAGCATCCTAAAGCAAGCTCATTTTCAAAACACGATTTCCATTTTCAAGGTGAGTTTTCTGTTTTTCTAACTCTTAATACAAGCATAGTTAGCTTTCCATTTGTGAATATAAAGTGTAGACATCATTGCTACGAAGCTGTACATATCCATAACTTGCATTTATTTGGCTTGAGTTTAGAGAATTTTAAGTTTGAAGATTCTGAAAAAATTAAGTTAAGAATTAGGGTCAACAAAATTCTCTCTGATCTTGGACTTATAATTTTAGTTATGCACATGGTTAGAATCGTGAGGTAAAATGCTATAATGTTCATGTTATCACTTTCCATTTTTGTTGTAAAATGAAAAAGTTACAGGGAGTCCGGCTGGCTAGAGGTTGAAGATGAAGTTCAGGGCAATGCAATGTTTTGTATTATATATTTGTGTTTTCATTTAAACTAACGGATGTACAACCACCCCAGTGGTAAGGCAGCGCGCGTAAATGTCATAGGTCATGGGTTCGAGCCTTGGCGCTGCCTTTTGCAAATTTTCACATTTTTCCATTTTTGTTTGTTTGTTTGGCAGCGTGGGCTTCTGACTTATGGGCTTTGTTTTTTTTCTAACCTCCTACCCCTGTTTGCTTGCAGCACCCATGGTCCATATATTTTTATTATTTATTTTATTTTCATTTCTATTTTATTAAATATATTTTCCTTAATATAAAAAATCATAAAAAATATAAAAATGTTAAATTTATATTTTGGTTCATTTTATTTATTTTTCTCATAGAAAATATTTTATTTTAGTTACATATCATATATTTTTTTAATAAACTTGTAAATTAAATTATAACTAGTTTGATATATATATATATATATATATATATATATATATATATATATATATATATATATATATATATATATATATATATATATATATATATATATATATATATATATATATATATATATATATATATATATATATATATATATATATATATATATATATATATATATATATATATATATATATATATATATATATATATATATATATATATATATATATATATATATATATATATATATTATATTATATTTATTAAACATATTATTTTAATACAAAATGACCAAAATACCTCATAAATTACATATATTATTTTTAAGACAAAAAAAAATACTTACTTTTCTTAAAGAAATCTATTTCCTTTTGATAAATTAGAATTATGATTTATAAAAAATCTTTTCTAAAAAAAGTAATTTCCTTTCCTAATTAATTTGAGTTTAATCTTGATTTATTTATTAGGTTTAGGTTAAAACGTTTTCCATATAAAAAAAAAATCAACACAAAATCTTCTTTTGCATTCACATATTTTTGCATATTTAATTTATCTTGTACATTATTTATTTTAATATTTGTACAAATTCAATTTGGTTGTAATAGATTAATTAGGTTTATATTATTGCAAATTCTCATTTGTAAATTGTATTCTTCCTCCCACAAATGTTGTAATAGCGTAGGACATTTAAATTTCGCAATTTATCGCCTTTTATATAACATGCAAGATAAAACCAATCAAATAGAAAATCCTAATCCAAGACAAAATCAAGTATGAAAATGACACACTTGCACACAAAACACCCCTAGGTTTATCCCACTTGGTTGCCTTATACAAAAATGGCCATATTACGCATGTAAAGTGTCTTAGCAAAAACAAACAAATACAAGATCATAGTCCCTCGATGACGCTATTTAAAGTTGTCTTACAAAAATGATCTTAGTCCCTTAAAAATGCTAAGATACCTTCCAACATTGCTAATCATGACTATGATGACCCACGCCTGTCCCGTTTACATCCAAAGATAGGGTTGCTTACTAAATCAATGGTAAGACAACAATGTCAAAGGAAAAGAAAATGAATAAGAAAGACATTTGAGTAGATAGATTACTCCTAGTTACTTGCTCCATTTCAAAACAAATATCCTTGCAATTTTCAAAAACACACACATTTCTAAAACATCTTACAAAACTTAAAAATATTTTCAAAAAAAGAAAAACATTTTTGTATACATTCTTACGAACGAGAATTTTCCTAAATAATGACCTCTTTTACAAAATAATTTCAAAACCACACAAAGCACAATTTCAAACAAAAAGCAACTGATCTAGCAAGTAACTTAGAGCCAATGGAAAACCATGGATGAAAAGGGTGCTAATACATTTCCTTTTCATAATCTACCCCCGAACTCAAGAAACAATCTCAAAGGTATTTTCTGTGCTTTTTTATCTTTACTTTTGGATAAAAGAAAAGTCAGTGACGACTCTTGCTAACCGCAACATTTGCGATAAAATACAAAATAATCAAGTCAGTTCTTCCACCGCATTACAGGCAAAAGTTAAGGATTAAAAGTATATGACTATGTCCCGTGGAATCAACACATTCAATTTTATCACCAATGTCCAAGTTCAAACGGTCCAATATCAATCCAATTAACTTCCATCAACGGCAAGGGACATTCAAAGACATTAGGGCAATAGTAGAGTTGGAAGGCAATGAGATCATTTCACATGGGTATTTGTTTTCATTCTCAATTTTGTTTTCCTTTCGACGATTTCCTCTTACTAGGATCTCCGTCTCTTTGTACAAAAACGCCTATTCATGGGTAAAATATCAATAAAAATATACTTTGAAGTGCAAAGTT